AAACAGGCTTTAGTCGTCATTGTGTTTAAGTTAGTTTACAATACCGTCCTTGAGGACTTTGTAAGTTTGTTGTTATAGAATTATATGACTCAGGGTTTTTAGTCGTAATAGTATAAACCATTATATCTTCTGCCATTTATATATATTTAAAAGTTTTTCTGAAAGTGGAGAAGAACTTCATCTAAACTTTCACATGGCGTTTCTTGAAGTTCTCTGTCTAAGAAGTTCAAATATTTTGTAAAGACATAGAACTTTCCTTTGTCTACACGAACAAACAAAACAGGGTCTTTCATATCGTTCAAAAGTGTGTAAAGTCCTTTACATGAAATAAAGTCTATATTATTTTTCTTCAAACATCTTTCAAGAAGTTTTGACATTTTTACTTAGCAAATAAATTTTAATGAAATGTTGTGGTCGTCAAATATTTTTATGACGTCTGGGAAACTATACTTTAAGTTCAACGTTTCACCTCCTTTCATAACGTATATCTTGTCAATGACATTATATGAAACACCACAGCAACTAATGTCGGGTTCTATTTCTTTGATGTTTATATCGTCTGCCTCTGTCAAAAGTTTCAATAGTTCTTTCAAAACTTCATGAGGTGCAATGACATATGAGTTCACTTTTACAGGGTTGTGTTCGACCAAGTTTAACATTATACTTAAAGCTTGACAAATCTTCTCCTGAGTTTGAAGTTTGTCTTTCAGTTGTTGGTAGTCGTTTCGAATATCTGCAACAGAACTTAAGTCTCTGCTAACTTCAGGATATGTTGGTTGTTCTTTTACAGGAACAATTGTTATACCATCTTCGTCTTCGTATGGTTTCCCCACTTCAACATCTCTGTCTTTGACATTGACAACAACACTTTGACTGTTTGTTTGAGTTGGTGAATTTAACTTCACATCTGCCACCGCCATTAAACCTTTTGAAACACTCACGCTTCTATTTTTCGGAAATGACATTTTACTTAGAATAAAAAGATGGACGTATTCGAGTATCTCTTCGAATTGAAGCAGAACAAAGTTTACACACACAAACAATACAAATACATTGACAGAATAGTTCTTTATACAAACAATGGTAAATGTTATAGAATAGCAGTCTTTGCTGAACCAAAATATTTTCATAAAGCAAAGAAAGTTGGTATAACTGAATGGTGAAAGTTCTTGACGTTGACAAAAATATAACAACAAAACTTACAGATATTTCTAAAGGTAAGTTTATCTTACAATATTATGTCAAAACTGGCGTACTGTCAATATTTGACGGAGAGAAGTCAGTTCAAGAACAACTTACTGACCTGCTGCCAAAATCTGCTCGATGGAAGCTGTCGTTATGCCAATCTGAGGAGCCCCAGCAGGTTTCATCGAACGAATCTTCAAAAGAGCATCTTCCGTGAAAAGTGCTATTGGTTTTGTAAACTTCTTTGCTCTCAGTTCATCTGGACCGTCTCTGTCACCAGTATATTGTATTTGTACAGTACCAACAGTTGAAATACCACCCATAAAGTCTTCTGAGTCAGCAAATGGAATGCCAAGCCAAAAGTTTGAACGGTCTCCATTTGTATATTGAGTTTTTTGACCTCCTGTATGAGTCCATACTTTCACATATGGCATAATAGAACTTTGCATTTCAGGGTTAATGGTTGTTGTGAAGTTGTTGTTAAAGTTCATAGCATCTAATGTCAAGTTGTATGACCTCATATCCTCAACTGTAGAATATTCTTCTCTTGGATAATATTTGCCATCTATGTTTATATGATATTTAATACCGGGGTTGTAGAAACAAGAATAGTCATTTATAGTTCGTCTGAACAGTACAAACATAGTATCTGCATGTTTCATTGCAGTTGTTAAAGCAATATCTGTTCTTGCACCTGGGTCAGCACTTTGGTTTCCAACTTCACCTGCAAAGTCTTTGACAGATATTTGGTGTATAGGGAACATAAGTGGAACTGCAATATATTTGGCAGCTAAAGCATTTGAAATATCTGGGTCCAACATATAGACTGCAAGTCTGCTTTCTATTCTCTTGCATTCAAATTTTTCGCATGTGAACTTAACTGGGTCCCAAGCAGTTCCAGCAGCATTGAAATAATAGTTTACTTCATTGTTGAAGTTTGAGAAACCAAAGTCTAAGTCAACTTTGTCTTTGCAAAAGTCACAGAACTTGGCTCCACCAGTTCCAGCTACAGTAATGCTGAATGGGTCTTGTGTTGGTGCAATGACTAAGTTATTTTTGCTTGGAGTAAGTTCGATAGAAATTTTTCCTGCCCAGTTTGGCAAGTATCTTAAAAACCTGAAGATGAGGAAAGATGACAAAGGAACTCTAAGTTTCAGTTTTACTTTAGTGGCAGCAGTTCCATCTGAACCAGAAAGGTTAACATAAACTCCTGGAACGTTAGGGTCAAGTCTTCTTATTTTCTCAATATTTGCATACTGGTCTGTTTGTTCTCTAGCTTGTGGTTGTACTGAGTTTCTCAAAGCGAACCATTCATAGTTTGCCCATGTTACTGTTTGAACTAAGTCAGAGTTAGAATATATCTTATATCCCATGAAAACTTCTGGAGCATATTGGTATCCGACATAGAAAATTCCATTGCAACCTTTCTTGTCAGACAACTTGGCAGAAGGTTTTATTTCAATGTCTTGTTCCACGTATAAGAATGAGTTGTCAATAGAAATAATATGAAACCTGTCGCAAGCAATATCTACTGTTGTTGAAGAACCTTCTCCAAACTCACCTACGTTTCCATAAGAAACAGCAGTTGTATATTCGTAAGTTCCAGGAACTATTTCTGACCTTCTAATGGCATTGTCGCATTCGTTATACCATTCGGAAACATTTCCGTTCATGGCATCCAAAACTGTTGGCGTTATATTCTGAGCGGCGTACATTTCATATGGGTAAAAATATAGAATAGTTGGATTTATATATCATAATAGAACCCACTCGTACCAAGCTTTACTTTCTTCCTGACTGAGTTTTTAACTCTTCTTTTTCCTTCATTGCCACTACTTTCACTAGATGAAGTTACTTCTTCACTACTTTCACTTTGTTCTACTCTTCTTCTTTGGTGTCGCTTTTGGTAACTTGCCCTCTGCTTCAAGTTGTTGCATCTTTGCCTCATGTTCACCTAGTATGTTGTAAATTTCCCATGTCCTTTTTGCCTTTGGGCTCTGGTCGCCCATCTCAGGTAACCTATATCCTAGAAAGATTTTGTCATAGTTTGTATTTGAGTCTTCGCGTATTGTTTGCATGACTCTTTCCTGAGTTTCCGGTTCAAGCTCTTCAAACAGAGCTTGTCCATATGGAATAAGCTCGTTTCCAAATATATGTTTTTGTAGCCATTCTGGTTTTCTTTCCATGTTACCAATAATATCTTTTGTGAATGGGAAAGCTTTTACCCAATGTTTCAGTCTTGCGTCATTTATTTCTGTAGTTGGTTTTATTTTGTCAAGGAACATGTTTTTCAATACTAACATTTCATTTGGTACTGTCCATTTGAGTTTTCTTAAATATTCATCCCTTCTCGTTCATTGTCTGCAAAGTAAGTTTTTATGACATTTTGCAAACTTTCGTTTGCAAGGTCATGTACAATAGGTTCTCTTCCTTCTCTCTCCCTAACTTTCTTTCTAAACTCTTCACCAAATATACCATCTCTATGGTTCTGTGTAGTTCTTTGAGATAAATGTTTTAGAACGTCAGGTGTTATATTTCCATCAGCCATGTTCATTTCATACTGGTCCAAAATATCTGCATCTTTCATATCTTTCAATGGCATTAAAGCCGCGCTGAAAATACCAGCTACATCTGGTTCACCATTCACTTCCATTGCGTCTACAACTTCTTGGAATTGTGGTTGTAAGTTTATGAACCACCTATCCGGATTAGCTTTATGACCCCATCTCATTGTAGTTCCATAGTCTGCAGAAACAAAAGTAGGTTTGTTTCCATATTGGCTAGGTTCTGAATGAACTTTAAACAATGTTTCATTTCTATATGTTTTGTTGAAATTTAACCTTTTATTTTCACCGAGTTCATCCAAAGATTGAACGTTATATGCTCGTAAGTAAAAAGGATTGTTGTATTTGCGTACACTTTCTTTCAGTTCTTCCATTCTATGCTGATATTTTCATCTGATGTTGGAGTCTTTTGTATGTCGGCGAACATTTTTCGATATTCTTCTACTATGTCAGCCGAATTTTTCTTAGACTCTTGGAAAGATTCCATATTCTCCGCATACACTTGTTGAGGGTCAAGATTTTTCGGCTGTTCCAAATCTTCATCTAGTTCTGTGAAGTTAGTTTCCAAAGGAGGGACTTGTTCGTTTCCTTCTGGCTCTTCTAGCTGTTGTTGCTGAACTATTTCTTCCATGTCTGGTTGTATCTGAACTTCTTCCTGTGGAGTTTCTTGTACCTCATCTGCTGGCATTTCATATATTCCGAGACCGTTTTTAACAAGTTCCCTATTTAAGCCATCCGCATTCATAACCCTTTCTTCTTTCGTTCCGTCTCTATTTTTTACGCGTTTCATGAAGATAGTTGAATTATCATTTATCTCTGACACCAAATATCTCGGAGTAAATTCAGTCATGTCATTTGGATGATATGCTATTAAATCATATCCCTTAGCGAGCTTGTATTTTCCAGGTTTGAAATTATATCCCATTTGGTGCTGAACCATAAAGCTAAATAGGTTCGGGTCAGTATTTCCTTCCTTGAACTTTCTAATAGCTTCTTTATATCTGTCACTAAAGTCAAGAGTATCTGGGTAACCATAATTTTCCTTAAGCATTTTTAAGAATTCTTGGTTTCCTTGTTCTCTACTTCTTTTATGTCCTTGCTCTGTTTGTGGTTGTTGCTGTGCAGTGTTTTGAACTGTTGGTTGTGGTGCAGTGTTTTGAACTGTTGGTTGTGGTGCAGTGTTTTGAACTGTTGGTTGTGGTGCAGTGTTTTGAACTGTTGGTTGTTGTGTTGGTTGTTGTGTTGGTTTTGGTGCATGCCTGTGTCTGTGTTCATGTGACGATGTAAATGTTTTAGGTAGTCCTGGTGCAGGTGCTTCTCTTGGAGGGTTTGGTGGTATATAAGTTCCACTAGCTAGTATATAAGTTCCACCAGCTGGTATATAAGTTCCACCAGCTGGCACATATGTTCCATCTGCAGCATAATGTCCTACCTGACTTTTCGTTTTTAAGAAAGCATTTACTAGGTCTGTTTTGGTCTGTTGTAACTCTTTTTCTTGACTTTCCACAACAGTTGCTCTAACGGCGTCATAGGCACTTTGAACTGCCTGTCTCGTTGCTGCATCTGTTATTTTCGTCATATTTTGTGCTACTTCTCTTAACTCGTTGTCGAAACCTTCAGACTTCAGTTTCTTTCCAGATGAGAAGTCGTTCACTAGTTTCACCTTACTATGAAGAGCTTCGAAGGCGTTCTTAAAGTCAGCATTCATTAAAGCTTCATTTGAACTGTCTTCATCCGCTTGTATTTTTGTCCTTATTGACCCTATAAGTTGGGCTGCTTTAGCGTTGGCTTGGGCATCTAACCAGTCATTATTAGCTTTTATATATTCTGAGCTTTTCATTGCCTTTTGCATGGCTGCGTCGTTATTTTTACTTTCTTGTGCTAAGTTTTCATACTGTACGGTTTGGTTTTGCAACTGTAAAAGTTTTTCTGCCTTTACATTTGCTTCAACTTCTTTTTTATACTCATCGCTATCCATATATGTCTTCAGGGCTTTTTGTTTTATTTCTTCATCTTTCAGTACTTTATATTGAGTAGTATGGTTTTTCAAATTTATAACATCTTGTTTCAATGCTCTCTTCCTCTTACGTATATTCTTACGTAGCTTACGTGGCATTTTAAGTGAAGTTAAAAAGCGGTTTTTGACAGATGTTTATATGACACTTTTTGTTCAGCACAAAAAACTACTCGGTCAAAGTGTTGTCAGTTTTGTAAAATAACCGTCCTATCTCATTCTATAAGGAGAAAAGGCTTCTCAAAGTATACTTCCTTGGAACGCCTGTAACTTTTCCTGTAGCGACGATAGACCCTTACTTGTCCGGACAAAGTTATACTATTTTGAGTGCTCTACAAAAAAGTCAACAGCGACGACTCTCAAAAACCGTTGTGTAAAAAGTTTTACCGTTGGACAAAAAAGTATATATAGAAAACAAAAAACGTTTATAGTTCATTCAATATTTGAGATGGAACGGTTTGCCAACGGTAACTATTAAATAAAATTAAAAAATAGAGGGGGTCTCCGTTGACGAAAACGGTTCATCTCAGACTCTTATTTGAAAAAACAGTTTATTTTTGTCTAATGGAAGCCAACGCTGTTAACCACAATTCTCAACCGCTAACCAAAGCCAAAGCCCCACAACCTCCAAGAACCGGCACAGCGGTTAGAATAACCACCAAAAAAATCTAACAACGAATTAAGAGAAATTCTTCAACAAATTTGCTCTAAATATCTCAAAGAAGCCGAAGAAAACACACAACCAGACGCTACATACAATACTCAGTTCTGTGAAGTTCTGAACAAAGCAATTACTAGTTCAATTGAACTTACTAAGAAATTCCAAATCCAATTGAGCTTAGCGATGTCTTAGTTCAGTATTTTTCCAACATTTATAACTAACTTATAATGTTGAGAACTTTATACAAGTTCGTCAAAATCTTCCTCGTTACATGCAACGGTCATTCGACAAGAGAATTGCTGAATTCCAAGTCTTTAGTTACGGATATGACGAAGATGAATACGTTGACGAGTTCGGAGACAACTGTACAAAATGGTTTGAATGTTATACGACAACACAATTTGAATTCGACTTTCTCGAATTCAACGCAGCAACCATTCATATCATTGCTCTTTACCTTTCCGAACAACAACAAGACCTCGCAGATGGAGATGTTGTACTGTCGTCATGGAAACTCCTGAACAATTCGGAAAAAAGAAGTCTCTAATTGCCAAATTCGTTCCAGGACATCAGCTTTTCCAACGCACAGAAGTCTTCTGTATTCCTGGAACTAAGTTCTTTGTCAGGAGCGAACTCAAAGAAAGATATAATGTGTCATTCAATTACACATTATATAATGTTTTCGACCCAGAAGAAGGCTTCTTCCCAGAAGCAATGGAGGAAGAAGAAGAGGAGGAGGAAATACAAAACTCTATCCAAGAAGAGTCCTCCGAATTCACACCAGAAGACTAACAATTTTCCGAATAAAAACTTCATTTATACTAAACATCTTCGGGGCTAGAGGGCACGAAGTGCCTGGAAGCCCCACTTCCTTTTTTTTTTTTTTTTTTTTTTTTCCTGCTACCAACATATGTAGTATCCTATTTAAGTCAACTTTACTTTATAAATCCCCAAAATTCAAAAGATTCTCAAAAATTGCCAAAATGAATAACTCGCTATCAACATCCAGATTTGCATACTTTATCAATAAAAAAACTGTCAAATTAATGATATGTCAAATGACAACGGCAATGTCATTTGACAATCTAAAATGATTGTATCTATAAGTCCTATATTTTTAATTCTTAGTAAGAATAATATTATATTTGCTAAAATTAATTCAAAATTTTGAATTCATATTGAAAAGCCAATCATTATGTTTTTTGTCTTCTCAAGTCTAGGCATTTCCAGGATTGTAGGGTCGATTGTTTCACCTTATTATGATGACTATGCAGAAAACTCATTCAGGCCAATTCCAATGCATCCACCACCATATTTCCAGGAAGAGAACTACATTCCATATAGATTGTATCCAACATATCAAAAGAACAAAGCTCAAGAAGAGAACTACATTCCATATAGATTGTATCCAACATATCAAAAGAACAAAGCTCAAGAAGAGAACTACATTCCATATAGATTGTATCCAACATATCAAAAGAACAAAGCTCAAGAAGAGAACTACATTCCATATAGATTGTATCCAACATATCAAAAGAACAAAGCTCAAGAAGAGAACTACATTCCATATAGATTGTATCCAACATATCAAAAGAACATAGTTCAAGAAGAAAATTTCCCATTTAGACCAATCCCTATTCATCCACCACTATATTTTCAGGAAGCCAACCATAGATGGATGAAACTAAAACCAATTTGTGAAAGGAAACTTCAGAACTCTCCAATATATTGGCCAAGAAGAGACCCAATGCTCAGGCCACCAATGATTTAAGGCGAGGACTTTGAAGTTAACACATTTGAATGTCTTGCTTTAAATAAAAGGCAAGTCTTTCAAACTAAACAGTAAATTTTTTCCTTTTTGCGGATTTTATAATTGTTATTTTATTTTTGATTCCTTATAATATGGCATATATAAATGAACAAATATTCAATATGATATTGCCTTGGGATCACGAAATTTAGAATAGTTGAGATACTTTTTTCTGGCTGATAAATAATCAAGAAAAGTAGAAAGCATCTATTAATATATATATTTAATATCACTAACTAGTAGAAGTGTTTTTTTTTATTCTCATTGCATCATATGAAATAGACATTTTCTCGATATGAATAACTGTATATATATATTTTATCTGTTTATTAAATAATAGAAGCAGTTATATGTTAATCGTTGAATTTATGCAATTTTTTAGGATATATTGCACCTTTTCTTGTGTTTATGATGGTGTTTTTTATTTGGTAATTGATTTTTATCAAAATTGTCTTTTGTATTTGAATTTACTCGTTGAATTTGAGAATTAATTAAATCTATTATGTTTTGATGATCTTTTTCCATTGCATAATGAAGAGCAGTTTTGAATGCATTATCTTTTATATCGATATTTGCACCCCGGGAAATAAGTAACTCTGCAGTTTCTTTGCTATTACTGTCTGCAGCCATATGAAGAGCTGTCATTCCGTATTTGTCTTTTGCATTAATATCAGCGCCGTTCAAAATTAGGATATCCGCAATTTCTTTAATATTTTTGTCCGCCGCATGATGTAGAGCAGTCATATTATATTATCTCTATGGTTAATATTTGCACCATGTGAAATAAGAACTTTTAGTGTTTCTTTACTGTTATTTATTGCTGCTCGAATAAGAGGACTATATAAAAGATTATCTTTTAAATAAAATATAGTTTTATGATTAAAGATTGCCGCAGTATAAAGAGGTCCCCATCCATTATAATTCTTTAAATTAATATCTGCATTGTTTGAAATAAGAAGATCTACAATTTCTATATTTCCATGTTCAATCGCACAATTAAGAGGTGTATCTCCTCCATGGCCTTTAATATTGATGTTTTCACAATGCAAAATAAAATATTCCACCATTTCCTTGTTACCAAAATCTACTGCATAATGAAAAGCTACAAGTGCATTCATATCTAATCAATTTATATCAGCTCCATTTGAAATAAGATAATCGCAAAGTATTTGTATTTAGATTACAATTGTTTAGATAACAATCTATTTATATCAGCTCCCTTTTTCTCACTATAATTCTATGATTGATAATTAAGTAATGAAGAGCATTTCTCATCAGGTGTAATACTTTATTATTAAATGAAGAATTACTTATTTCTTTAGGATCTTTACAACAATTTACATGAATTACTGCGTAATTACAAAATAATATTAATCAAGTCTGATATCATTATTAATAAATAAAAAAAATCTAATTTTATTAAAATAAATAATAGTATTTTAGTAAGCATTGATCTTCGTTATGAGATATTGTTTGATCAATTCATAATCAGTTGTATCGATAATAGTGAAATCAGCGTTGTAGAAGCATTTCAAATTAACAGTGTTTCCGGTGAATTCGACGTTCTTAATTTCGCTGTAATCGATACATCTGGAAATGTTTTTATCAGCAACAATGAAAATGGAATTTCGTCCTAATACAACATAACATGATTCTCTCTTGTATTTGGCATCTACAATGAATTCTGCCTGGTCTGTGTGAGTATCATTTCCTGGGTTATGTGTCTGAGCAAGGAACTGAACTTCGCTAAGTTTTTTATCGAAAGGAGTGATAGAACGATGAAGAATAGCTCGAGCAAGTCTTTGTCTTCTTAATATAACTGTATCATCCGAAATCGCTTTTCTTGCAGCGCCAATGATTCCGGCACCAGCATCAGCGACACCTAAAACTGGTCTAGCAACAATACCTGTGATTCCTGTTGCAACACCCTTGAAGAAGCCTCCTGCGCCGCCCTTCTTTGCACCTCTGATTGGATCTACAACAATTCCTGCAATACCATCAATCAAACCACTTCCGAGAGCTTCCATTCCATTAACAAATGTCTTGGAAGCACTTGCATTGAGGCCAACTTTTTGTGTCTTCGTTCCTTTGATTGCTGACTCTGCTGTGAATGTTCTCAAGATAGAGCCAACTGTGTTTATTGCGCTCTCGCCAATTCTAAGTGTTCCGCCAATCAAAAACGCTGGATTTCCTTTTGTTACTGTTTTAACAAATGAATCAGAAATGGCACCAACATTCAAGAAAATATCGATACCAAGTAATAACTTTAATGCGAGAATGAAAGCTTGGTTCTTCAAAGGATTGACAATTGTTGACATGACCGCATCTCCTGTAAGAACTAAATCATTTACTGACAAAGCGTCCAATGAAATATGTGCATCTGAAATTGAAGGAATCATCGTCATTTGAGAGAAAGGACACTTGAACATTGTTGGTCTCTGTGTCTGGCTTTCGTGCTGCAAGTTAACAGTGATTGCACTGCATCTGAACTTCTCAACAGTCATGATATTTGTAACTTCACTTGGTTTCTCGTCATTCTTTGGATCATTTTCTTCTTCGTTTTTAGGAACAAAATCATTCATTATTAGTGCAACTAAATCACATAAACAATTGTTATCTAAATACAAATTGATTGGTGCGAATTTGATGTTAACTTCGCTGATTGTCATCGATGAATTCTCATACATAATCATCATATCAAAATCAAGGAAATTCTCTGATGACAAAACTGTTTCGAAAACAGCTAATGGATGCAAATCATCAAGGAGTAAATTGCCGACTTTACAACGTGCAATCAAATTCTGCTTTGATGACACGATGTCGAATTTCGTGTTATTTAATGAGAGCAAGAAAAGTTCTCTATAATCGGAAATCAATCCGATTTGCAGACATTTCAATTCGAAACCGAAATAGAATGTTGGAAGTTTCTTCAGTTTCATTGCTGCATAAGAGATATTGATTGTTAAATACTTCATATTCTTTGTAACAACAATGTGAACATCGTTTATTGTTGTTACGTTGTTCTCATCGATTTCACAGAGTTTCTGGTCAATCAATATCATGATCTTTGTGTTTCTGAATGGTTGATTATATGCAAAGAATGATTTCGTGAATGGTTCAATCTGTTGTGAAAATTCAAAGTTTTGTTGACATAATTTGACAACTTTATTTGTCAGATTTCTAACTGTAACTTGTTGTTTTCCTTCTGGTTTCTTGAACTTAACAAAGTTCGTTCCATCCTTGATAGAAACAATCATTTGAACAAAGCCATCATCAGTTATAAAAGTGACATTTGTTGGCAATTCGAAATTCAAAACAATTCCTTTTGTTTTTTCTCTGTCGAAGATGAATTCATTTGATTCATCGCAGAAAGGTAACTGGCAAGTTTCTCCTTTATAAACAGGGAATGGTTTAACAACTTCTTTCGGTCTCAAACTGAATTCATAATCTAACTCATTCTGAATAACATATTTTGATTTGAAAACTGCCAATTTTGTGAATTCATTCAAAATAGAAACGGAATAAATGAGAGGGCAATACAATTTGTCGGAATATGACAAGTAGTATCTCGAAGGAGCAACAGAATATGTTGCTTCTATTGGTGTCATTTCTTTTTCTCTTGATAAATAAGGGCTCAAAAGAATTGATGAATTTTCTGATTCTGTGACACTTTTATCTGACAAATAAATATCTTTTCCTTCCCAAACTGTTAAGTTATCGAAATCTCTTGTCTTGACAAAGAATGTTGTCTTTGTCAAGTTCCTTAATATGACAGGAATGAACAAATTAAATATTGTTTGTCCAATGGAATTATGTGTAACTCTGATGTGTAAATTGTTCTCTTTTGATGGAACTAAATATGTCTTATCATTGTTAGTTCTAATCGTAATCTTCTCGTTTAATGTAGCAACAACATTCGAATGGAGAACAACTAAAATTGTGACTTTTGTTGAATTCAAATTCAATGGGATTTGATCGTTCTTTTTAACAGTTCCTAATTTATGATTTTCAATAACAACATCACAATCAAATGGTGTGTAGTTAATGAACTTTCCTGTGTTGTGGAAAACAATTCTGTTAACATGAACAACTTCATGTTTAACTAATATTGAGGTCTGATTCACTCCTTTTCCAACAGTTAATGTCATACTCTTTCTTCTCAAATCAGACAACTCGAAAGAAGAATTCTCGATGTAGAAAGTAGAGTTAATAGGAATTAATGATGATAATGGATACTGTGTATTTGGTTCCAATGTCTTTATCATCTTTTTATCAGCTGCCAATGGTAAATTATACATTGTTTTGTTGTCGAAAACAAGAAGTGAACTGAAAACAATGCATTTGTGTTTTGTCGATGATTCATTGAAACAAAGAACAGTTGGAAGAACTAATCTGCTGTAAACCAAATCAGTTAATGACATTTGTGAATCAAATTTGTCAATTTTATAACGAACTTTTGATAAGTTATTTGCATTTGACAAAACAAATTCTGTTTCTGGTTTAATTTGTTGAGAAATTGATTCAAAGTTGACAGAAAGATTGTAATTCGTCATGTTCTTTATGATGATTCCTTTCTCCATGTCAGAAGAGATATCACTCTTATCAAATCTTTCTTGGATATCGCTTAAATACTGTGAGAACAATTTGATCATTGTTTTATCAACATGTAAATCAATGTTGTCATTTATTGACATTTGCATTTCAAAGTTGTTTTCCTTGTTCATCAAATTCAAGATGATATCGAATGGGTTGCACAAAATGTCCCATTGTTGTGATTTCATGTTGAATAAGTCGAATCTTTGGATAGGAATAACCAAATTCGTTGGTTCTCTGTAATCTTGATCGAGTTCGAAAGTTGTTCCTCCAACTTTCAAAAACATGAAAGGAATATCATTTGTAGGATCTTGTGATGATTGGTAATTCAATTGTAAAGTAAAGTCTGGAAGACTGAATTTCATATACTTCAAACTCCTCTTCTTTTCGTTTTCTTCCTCTTCTTTACTTGATAATTTATCTGACATTTGTAAAGTGTCAGAACTTGAAATTTGACTAATTTTGTCAGATAAAATGTAAAGAGCTGCAATTTGGTCGATTGATAATTTGATGTTTGTATCTGATGTGTAAACAGATAAAGTATCAAATGACATTTGGAATCCCAAGTTCCAATTTTGGATTATGAAGATCTTTGATTGTGAATTTAATCCATTTTGAGAACCAATAAATAATTTATCGCAAATTACGTTCATTCCACTTTCTGTTTGGTTGAAAACGAGTTTGGAATTCAAGAATAAATACTTATCTTGGTCATTTAACACCTTAACTAATAAATTAGATGATAACAAATTCAAGGCTAATGATTGTGTCACTTTTTCTTCATCAGGATCTTCAACAGTAGAGAAATTCGTTGAAAGGAAAGCAGAATTCATGAATTTGGTTGCAACTCCTAAGATTTTATCAATATCGCAAACTCCTTCCAATGAATTCAAGTTGATTTGGATCAACAATGGTGATAAAATGAGGTCAAATCCGCTGACAATTAATTTGTCAAAAATAATTTGGTCAATTGACATTTTCTGTTTTTCAGAAATTGTGAAATTGAACTTGTTCATTAAGATTTTCTGGTCATCAATTTCAACTGATGTTTGATCTAACTGCACGCCAACAATAAGCTTCGATTCCCAGACTTCGTGTATGATTTCTGTTGGAAGGAATGAAACAATAACAGAACAAAGAGAATTTGTTGATAAAATGTCAAATTTGTAGTTTACATTTGGTACTTTCAGTTGAATGTCATAACCGACAACGTATTTTGTATCTGGTTTTGTATATTTCTTTCTTAGGTTCGCTGGATACCATTTAGAAACTTTTGGCGGCATATTTTCTGTCAAAAATCTCAATTTAATACCAAAATCAGCAACTTTCAAAAAGTTTGATTCAACATTTGCGACAGAAACATTGATGTTTTCACAGTTTTCTTCTGTAGCAACATTAATGTCATTGATATTAAACGCGATGTTGTTTACAGAGAAATTATCTTTCCCGAGCAATTTCAACTGTATTTCAAAAATCTTCGCGTTGTATCTAAACATCGTGAAAACAGCTGGTTCTTCAGGATTTCCTCCCAATAAATCTGTAATTGTCTTCACGAACTTGGACATGAAGAAGTTGTATTGCAATAAAACGAAAACCTTGTCGATGTTGAAATTCAAAACATTCCCTTTCATCGAGAATTGTATTGGATCTTGAATTAACAAGAAATCACCAAAATCTTTATTTGTAATTTTGGCACTTTCAACATCGAATTTAATTTCATCACCAATTAAACCATTGATTTTAGGAACAAGGACATCGAAAACTTTTTCTTCTTTCTGATATCCTGTAATAGTTATCTTATCTGTTACAAGTTTAATTGGTGTTGAATTTTCATTGGAAACTTCTGTCACTTTTTGAGGAGTTTTTTCTTTTTGTTGCGGAGATTTCAAGAAATGGACAGGATCTTTAACGAAAATCGGCAACAAATAACCAAACCCACTGTTGCTCAAATCGAAATGAGTTTCTCCCAAGATGTAAATTGTGTTATCCTCAAATTTAAGTTGATTTAACTTTCCAACAGTCACTTTTTGTTTGTCATTCATCAACAGATTGTTTAAAACAACAGAAATGTCATCATTTCTCATGTTGAAAGATATTTCATTAGAAATGATTGCGAACATCACTTCTCCTTCTTCTAAGAATGTGATGTCTATTCCTGGTAATCCAAAGTCAATGAACATTTCGCTTTTATCCATTTTCTTCATTTCTTGTTTGACATCTTCATTGATTTTACTTGGATTTGTGTCGACAAATAAATTGGCGTAAGCTGTTGTGAAAGTAATGATTTCCATCAAATTGTTGAAATCTTCTTTCAAAAGTTCGACCTTTACAGAAGGAAGATTTCCTTTGATTGTTGTCAATTGATCCTTTACAGATATATTGACAATTCCTGTGATATCTTTGATCAATTTCCTGTCATTAAATGCTGTAAAGAAATTGTCAAATCCAAGTAAAACTGTTGCATTTTTACCTTGATTTACAGCATCTAATTCGATCTTTGAAATTCCGAATTCCACGTTGAAATATTTGTCTTCTTCGACCATTGGTAAATGTATCTGGATATTCGGACTAATCACGTTAACTTTCGCTTTCAAAATAGAATCAACCATTTTGATTTCTGCAACTTCTGTCACTTTTTGATTTTGATTCATTTCTGCCACTTTTTCTTTGATTATTTCAATTGAAGGTTCTTCATCGACAAAGAACTTCATTATTGAATTAACCCAACTCAAGTCGAACAAAACAAATGGCCTAAACACATCTACTGTTAATTCAGTGATATTCTCATGAATTGCGACTTTCGTACTCACGGCTTTTTCTTCTTTTGAACCGAAAGAACAAAATGGTCTTGAAACACCTTCCATGCATAATAATGACTTCAAAATTACATCAAGATCTAAAACACCATCTTTAATTTGAAGTCCGCATGAAAGATTGTTAATAGAAAAGTTGTTTTCTACTTTTCCTGTATCAGAAATCAATTGTAAATTAAAAGCTTCGAACATTGAAGACAAAACAAGGTAAATGTCTTGAGAGAAAGCTTGTGCTTGTTTCTGGAATGTTGCAATAGCATCTGTAATTGGTTTTTGTTCTTTTTCTTCTTTGATTTCTTCTTCTTCTGAATCATCTTTCATAAGATTCGACATTTGGTCAACAAATTTAAGAATATTGTTGTATTGTTTCTTCCTGAGTTTAACCATGATCTGTTGCATGTTGATTTTGATGTTTTGGTTGACAATTGTTTTCAATGGAACGAATAAATTGTCTAAATCAATATGCATTGATGCAGGTTCAACAATAAACTCATCTCCCATCTTAACAGTGAAGTTTTTGAGAGAAATAAGGAATTTATCGTATAATGAAATAATATTCTTTCTTTCTGGTTTAATAAATGGACCAGTAACAATATCAATAGAACCTGTGTCAATAGTTATTTGTTCTTCAGCAGGGATTATGACTGTTGGTGTATCCATGTGCAAATCAATTTTGAATTCTTTCTTTTCATCAATGTAACTTGCGAATTCAAGCTCAGTAATTTGTCTTTTGATTTGTTTAAGAGCTTGTTTTGGATTCAAGTCGTGTCTTATATTGGTAATTGCCTTCAAATTCCTGTTTGCAAAGAAATTACTCAATCTCATGATATAAGGAATATCTGCGTAAATAATTGGTGATGTAACAATGCCATTCAAAGTGAATTTCTTGTTGAAATTGTCTAAAACTAAGTTACCACTGATGCATTGTTCCAAATTTGATGGTTTCAACTTGAATATCTTGATGTTGTGATCGGAATCAATGGTCATTTTCTTCATCTTGAACATTGACGTTATTGTGGAGCCCGTCAAATTAACAGCAGCGTTCATTTTAACTAAATTTACTTGCATTAGCTGATTATTCTCTTTATTTATCAAATTAAACGTGAAATCTTCAATAGTTGAGTTGAACGTGAGGCTCTGAGTGCTGTATTGTTGACGTTTTGCTTCGACCATTTTAAGGATATCTTGTTGGCTGATTCCGATTGAAGCAGGTTTGCTATTAATGATGAGCTGGCGTTGGGCGTAGTTCATAAATGCTATTAATACTTGAGAGCCATATTCAGATTCGTATCTTTGGATATCTTTTGCGAATTGGTCTTTGCTTTGGGCCTTGATGTAATCCATCAATGGGTTGCACATCTTCTTTCTGTTCTTTAAGAACAATAATGCTCTGTCTCGTTTAAATGAGAAAGGATGAATTTTCTTTTTGGCGCATTGATAAGAATAGTCCCACCATTGACGAGAAACTGCTGGTGTTGCCTCACTAGCTGACAGTACATGAATTGGCCTTCCAAGAGGAGAATAATACAATAATCTTTGGAAGTCAATAAATTGCTTTGTAAAGAGCAAAATGCTATGGTATTGTAATTCGTTGAGAATAACGTTGATTTTAGGAGTATTAATTGTAATTTGGTTCTGAATTGAAACTGATGGGCTCATTGCGTGTTGAAGATAGCCTTCGAATGTAAATTTATGGAGTAAGCATTGATGTCCTTCCATAGATTGAAGCATTTGTCCTTTAAAATGAGCAACTCGTTCAGCTCTTGTCTTATTTTCAGGAAGTAATTCCAAAGGCTTGGCATTAGGATCCATGTAGATAGATAAATCGTGAATAATCAATTTCTTGTAAAGAATATCCTTTGTTGTATTGTCTGAGGTTAAAACTTCAATTAAAGGTATTGTAATTCCAGCGGCAACGATATGGTCACCCATGTCATATTCAATTCTGACATGAATATTTTTGATTTGTGCCCTAAATTGTTCGAGAATTGCAGCAACAGAAGAACTAATTACTTCTTCTGTTGAAACCCCTGTTTGTACGCATAATTGCGCAAGCTCAGACTTTTCAGTATTAGCTTCTAATGCTTCTTTCGCTATCGAAATGTCTGATCTGACTTTACCTAAAATATAAATATCAGTTAAATTCATATTCATCGGCAAAGACTTAACAAGTTTCTCTATTTGTAGATCAAGCATTCCAATAACGCCACTTGTGATCTCAAATGGAACTTGATGACGCATTAACGCATTCTTTTTGATTAATGTATCCTGGAGAACAGCATTTTTGTTCCAGAGACTGACACTGATCTTGCTCTTATCAATGTCTTCAATGTACTCTCCAAGAAAATAAGATATAACGTTAGCAACAATCCGATTCATATAAAAATTATGGTGACTTTTTTTATTTGAAATGATTCGTCATTCAAAAAATTTCTAAAAAATTGAATAGAGCTATTTTATTTATTGAATAGATGTAAAATTCGTGGAACGTAAATTAGCTTAAAATATGATGTTAACCAAGATTACAGGAAAATTTTTCGTGTCACTTTTATTTTTGAAAGAGATCGGGAAAAATTTATCTCTCTGTCCAATCAGACTAGAAGTAAGTTTTATTCGGGCTTGGATAATATTACTTTGTTTCCTTTGGCTATTCTTAAAAATGTGTTTTTATTGTATTTGTACCATTATTTCAGTATAAAATCAATAATTTTATGATGAATCAAGGAGATGTGAATTCAGAGTGCATTATTTAGATTTATTATGTGTCTATTAGTTGATCGGAACTATATTGGTTGGTATTTATGTTCATTTTCCTCAATGAATAAAAAATCAAAGAAAAAATATTTTCGAATAGGATAAAATTTGATAAATACACTTTATTTAACTGTAAACAATATATTTTCTTTAACGATAAAGTCATTCTAGTCTGATACTGCAATATTGTGGAATAAGTTATTGAGTTTTGTTCTCTTTGAATCAATCGAGAGATCTGTCAACCTATCAAACTCAATCTTGGCCTCGGAATCAGTTTTATTTAAGAAGAGCATATCGGTCATATATCTGATATCTTCTGCTTGTTGAAGTTCAGGTATTCCTGTTCCTAGCATAAGAATAAGCAATGTGACAAGTAGATTGGAGTTCTTTCTCAAGACATTCAAAGCATCTCCACACAATTGTCTGTATTTCTTGAACATTTCTCCATTAACATCGCCCAAAACATTAACACATGCTGGAGAGAAATGATATGGAGCATTTTCTCTTTGGTATCCAAGTTTTGTCTTGAAATTACCCAAAAAGTGGCCAAAATCAATATGAAGGAAATGTCCATCACTTTGGAGCATTATATTTCCTGGATGTCTATCAGCAATACCCAAAACACAAGTTGCAACAGCATAACCAGCAGATGAATACATGAAGTTCTCTCTTGCGAGCATCTGATTTTGCTCTGTTGTATTAACTTTGCAAAGATAATCAGAGAAAAGAGAAACGTTCCAAACACCTGCGAATGTTCCTTTTTCTTGTTGAAGCGCTTGTTCTGTAATAGCATTAGGAACAACTTCGATGAAACCTTGATTGAAACCTGTTGGTAAAACACCATAACACCTCATATGGAAATCCATTCCAGCCTGTCTCCAAAGGTGTTCCATAACACTCATTACCTGGAGTGTTAATTGATCTTGTCTCAAGTCATCACCAACTTTGAAGAGAACTCGAATTGGTTCTGTTACAAAAGGAGCTGCATTGTGGAATGTCAACCAGAAAGGTTTCTTCTTCGAATTCATAACTTTGCATTTTTCAACGATGAAAGCGTCAACAACTAATCTTGGATCCATAGGAAGATGGAATTTGTTTGGCAAGTTGAACTTTGAGAGGGCATCTCTGAATGGTCCTGTTGCATCAGCATGACTTAATTTGCATAATTTTTGATTCAATCTCACCAATTCCTGTGTAAATTTGTAACCAGTTATGAGTTCTTCTCTGTAAATTCCACTTCCATACAAGAAATTCACGACAAAAGAGCTGAATCTGCGTCTGATATGTGATATATGAGCTTCAGACATCAATTGCCAAAAGAGCTTATGTCCCAAGAACTTTGGTTCATTCAAACCTCTTCTAAATAGGAATCTGCACAAAGGAGAATAATCATACATCTCGTTCTTCAATGCTTGAACTAATTGAAGCATGTACAACATAATTTCATCATCAGAGAAACTTTCAAGGATCTCAACAGCGTATGTTCTCACTCTATAATCAGCAAACTCTGAATCAAGTAATGTCAAAGCTTCTTTTGGAGACAATCTGTCCCATCTCTGAAGTAAAATTGAAACTTCATTTACTTGTGTGGGAATTGTATAATCAATTGAAGACAAAACTAAAGGTAACATTGATGTCATGTCATAGAGATCATGTCTGTGTTTGTAGATTAAGTTTTTGTCTTCGCAACTTAACTTCTTCAATGGATCGAAAACTCTCTTCTTCAAATTCTCAATAGAAATTCTTTGTTGAGTTGAAATTCTTATTGATGTCATACTTCCACGTTGAATTGTTTGTGGAGGTGCTGTGAATGTTATTGGGAACTTGTATTGAGGAATTTCAAATAAAATTCTTGTTGCATCTTCATCTTCGCATTGGCAAGTTGTTAACATTGGATCTGTGTCTTTTCCATTCCACATCGAGCAGAAATTCACTCCAGAATTGACCCATCCATCGAAATTAAAAACAGGAATGTTGATTGTTGCAACTGCTCCTTCCTTTGTACCGATTTTCTCATAGTTATAGAGAGTGATTGCTACTCTTGCTGAACGTGGAATCAACTGGATTTGTGTTGTTAATATCAACACTTCATTCCATGAAACACTTGTTCCGCCTAAAGAAGGCTTTGTCATTGTTGGAGCTCCAAGTTCATTCGAACCATGATAAATGGCGGCTCTTATGATATATGCTCTTGCGGAGAGTTCCTTTGGAATGTTGAAGCATCCGTTAATGATGATGGAAAAGTATTCTTTGGATAGTAAATGTGGGAAACCGCCAATTTGAGCAAAACATGGTTTGACATTTTCTTTGAGAACTAATGGTTTATATCTCTGCTCAGCAGTTGGTTCAGGAAGTGGCGTGAATGAGAGTTCTTTGGAATTAATTTGTTCAATCAATTGGTTCCTATCAAAGAGAAGGAAATTCATGAAAGGAGTGACAGATAATAAGAATTGTCTGACACAAACGAACTGAATGATCGTATATTCGCCTGCAATAATTTCATCTGTTCCTTGTAATATTAGTGCGTAGTTTTTGGGGTCAAGTTCATTGCCAACGCCTTGATGTTCTCTAATTCTGTTGAAAAGCATTTCAATTGCTTTATCTACAGTTGTATCAAAAGAAATAGCTAAAGATACAGCAATTGCTCCGTTAGAACCAGTTACTAGATGAGTATCTACTTTGATTGGAACATTCTTTTTCTTGCAGGCCATTAATGGAGCATCATTTGCACAAAGTCGCATGCGAGCAAGTAGTGGATCCTTTGTTAGACGTTCGTTTCTAGCCGATTGAACTTCTTTTCTGAGATCAGAAAATGCAGAATTAAAAGTGAGTATTTCTGGTGTTTGCATGATAGCTTTTAGGTCAAGATCTTGTACATATTGTTCTGCGGCCTTCGAAAAATCAGTCTTCGGCGCAGCTTGAATAAGAATAAATTGAGGCTGCGACGGATCTTGGATTTGAGCCTTAATCGCATTCATCATTTCTGGAGATTCTGATAACTTAAGTTTCTTTGATGGATAATCTTCATTTATCGTTCCAAGTCTGTAAGCTTTTTGGTTTCGAATTGATTTTTCGTCATAAAGTTCAAGAAGTTGGTCGTACGCTTGCTTTTGGATAGACCCAACTGTTTTTGTTAATTTTGACTCTACAGTTATGCACAGTCCTGTTGGAAATCGGATATTAAGAACGACTCTTTTGTGTTTACGTGTAAAACTTGATAATGGAATATTTGATGTAAGAATAGCATTTTGTACTTGGAATTCTTTGAGGTTGAATACAAATAATGGCATTCTTTCGTTTTTCGATGTAATGTTTTCATCTGAAACAAAATACGAGCTTATAGAAGAAGTTAGAAAGTTTTCTGTAACTGTTTCTGATTGGGGAACTTTCGTTGTATCCGTTGAGAAAATAACTTCATATGAATTTGAATTTTTTGAATTTCTACAAATGACATAATCTTTTAGCGCGAAATTGCCTAAGAAATCTGCAACATCTTTGCCTATTATATTTTGATCTAAAGGAAGAAAAAATGTTTGCCCTAAGGGCAGGATAAGATCAATTCTGTGAGTCATTTAAATATTTTGAGAAGAGTTGTCTTCATTATCAAAATTGAGATTGATCTGGAAAAATGAAAGATTGAGCTCTCTAAGGTTGAATAAGCTAAAGATAGAAAAATTTATGACATAAAATTTCTATGTCTATTCAATTTTATTCTCAATTTATCGAGTTATTAACATGTTGTTTATCCTGGTCTTATCATTTTTGATCAGACATGCATAAAAAATAAACAACATTGAAAATACATCGACCTATATCAATGAGGTGAATTCTAACCAATGACCATCGTGGTTACAAGAAAACATAAAATTAAGGAATTTGACTAATAATTCGAAATTATTTATATTATGTTCGCCATGAGTACTCATTTAAAGCCCAGGCGGTGCTGTAATAAACAGAAATTTATCAAAAGTGACAGCTCTCAATTTTTTGACATTTGTAAATTCTAAATTGAATGAGAAAAATGAAATAATACTAAGCATAATACAATATTCTAGATTTAATTATAATTAGGAAAAAGCTAGTTTTGAGAGTACTTTTCATAGGCATATAGAATGAAATCTTCTGAAAAATAATATCATATAAACTCATATTATTTTCTAATATATAACTATTTTATATAAAAATCAAATTCAATGATCTTAAAAGCGAAGGATAAACCTCAAAATTTACGAATATAATGAGTTGGAATATAATGCTTCTCTATCATAAAACCATATGAAATATCAATTTTTGCTTTACGCCTAATTTTTGACGACAATTAGCAAAAAATGTTAAATGTTAACACTCAGTCCATTTGAATATGAAAAATAAAATTGACTTTGATTAAATGTTTTTATTTATCATGCAATTCTTCTTGCGACCAAAGATTTGAATAAAACTTCAAAAAATAAGATAGCTTAAAAAATAATATACAGTAGTGTTTACTAATAGATGAATAGTATATAAATTCTATTAAAATGGATTTGATCCAAAAAAATATATAAAATTTGATCATAAATAAAATCGTTTTAAATTACTTCTTCATTTAAATTATAACAATTATTTTTGGTTTTATATTTTTTTGGATCAAATCCATTTTAATAGAATTTATATACTATTCATCTATTAGTAAACACTACTGTATATTATTTTTTAAGCTATCTTATTTTTTGAAATTTTATTCAAATCTTTGGTCGCAAGAAGAATTGCATGATAAATAAAAACATTTAATCAAAGTCAATTTTATTTTTCATATTCAAATGGACTGAGTGTTAACATTTAACATTTTTTGCTAATTGTCGTCAAAAATTAGGCGTAAAGCAAAAATTGATATTTCATATGGTTTTATGATAGATAAGCATTATATTCCAACTCATTATATTCGTAAATTTTGAGGTTTATCCTTCGCTTTTAAGATCATTGAATTTGATTTTTATATAAAATAGTTATATATTAGAAAATAATATGAGTTTATGTGATATTATTTTTCAGAAGATTTTGTGTTCTTCTTCAAAATTTTATTTTTTTTATTAAAAAGAATCTTTACAAAATATACATTTACTTTAATTAATATTTAAAAACGTGCTCTATCAAAAGTTCCAAAAATTCAATATTTTAGCTTTTCTGATGTGTCACTTTTGATGAATTTCTGTTTACAACAGTGCCATTATTGTATATTTTTTAGTTCTAGCTTTGTTACCTTGAACAACAAATTTTGCTATCGTGAATAAATCTTATCGACTGAGATAATATAGAATTAAACTGAAATAAGTTTACTCTTCGAAATTGATGGAGTTTGATAGCAAGTTTTTAAGTATTACTGATTTGATTTTTAAAAAATATTTTTTGATTTTGAAAGTATTGAATAATACTCACTGTTCATTAATGTTATTGTGCACATATGTTGTCTTTTATCTCAAATGATATCGGATAGTACTGCAAAATATTCAATTTGTCTAATCTCATATAATACCTATTAAGAGTCAAGGGTGTTCTTTTTGATGCTATATCCGAATGAATGCACCGAAATTACGTTAATGCGTTGAGTGAATTAATAAGATTTTTCTAAATTTCGTATTTTGTGTTTGAACGGATTGTAAATTGTAAAAATTAGTAATTTGTGAGGGAGTTGAAACTTAAGATTTAGTAATACATGCTTACTCGAGGTCATCATTCCATTTGATAAGAACGACTGGCTTGATGAGATCAGCTGGCTTATCCTTCATGAGCATGAGAGCATCCTCGACATGCTCGAATCCCTTGAATTCGTGTGTGATAAGCTTTGTTGGGTCGACACGGCCGTATTTGATTAGGTTGCCCATCTTCTCCATACGAAGGCGGCCACCTGGTGTGAGACCACCATGGATGAACTTGTGGCCCATACCGACACCCCATTCGACACGTGGAACATCGATGTTCTCGCCTTCGCCGAGGTAGTTGACGTTGCCGATGATGCCACCTGGCTTCATCATCTTGACGGCCTGAGCGAATGTGTGGTTGTCACCACCAGCGATGATGACCTTGTCAACACCCTTTCCGTCTGTCATCTTGAGAACTTGCTCAACGATGTCGCCGTTTCTGTAGTTGACGATGTCTGTAGCGCCGTACTGGATAGCGATGTCGCAGCAGTGTGGGCGAGAGCCGACAGCGATGATGCGGGAAGCACCCATGAGAGCAGCACCGCGAACGGACATGAGACCGACTGGGCCGATACCGATGACGCAGACTGTTTCGCCGAGCTTGATGCCAGCGAGTTCAGCGCCGTGGAAGCCTGTTGTCATCATATCAGAGCACATAACGCACTGACGTGGTGTAAGGCCTTCTGGAAGCTTGGCAAGGTTAGCATCGGCTTCGTTGACGTGGAAGACTTCACCGAAGACACCATCCTTGAAGTTGGAGAACTTCCAGCCACCGAGCATTCCGCCGGAGTGCATTGGATGGCCTGCCTGGGAAAGGGAGTCACCCCAATCTGGTGTAATGGCTGGGACAATGACCTTGTCACCAACCTTGAGCTCCTTAACGAGGGAGCCGACCTTGATGATTTGGCCGACAGCTTCGTGACCGAGAACCATATCGTGGCGGTCGCCGATAGCACCAGCCCAAACTGTATGGATATCTGATGTGCATGGAGCAAGAGCAAGTGGGCGAACAAGAGCATCAAGTGGGCCGCATTCTGGAATTGGCTTTTCGATCCAGCCAACGTTGCCGATGCCCTTCATGGCGAAGCCCTTGAATGTCTTTGGAACCTCGAAATGCTTTTTCTCAGTCATTCGAAAAAATGAACTGATATTTTAGATGGGTAAAATTGAGAGGAAGGTGAAGTGAGTCATCGTTTGGCTGATTTATCTCAAATGTTATTGAGAGTAAAAGCGGTTTTTCTCCACATTTTGAAGGATGAGTTCATTTCTCCATCCTCACTTCTTAGTATAAATGGGATGATAGGTAGAATTTTGCACTATGTTATATTCTATTTATCCAAAACGATGAAAAATGGTTTTATATTTTATTATTAAAATCCTGCTCAGTATGAGTTTCTGAGCATAAGTAATAATTAATGTTTATTTTCCAAAACTATTTTTTCAATATTTGTATTTTGAGAAGATTGAGAGGATTTGTTGGTTTGACATTATTTAACGTTTATTTATATTGAAGATTAATGGAATAGCCTTACAATCAAATAAATTTATTTTACGAAGATAGGGGATCAAATAATTTGAATGTCAGCTGTCAAAACACTTATTTTGCTATTGTTAAACAACAGCAGATGATAATATGGACATTTAAACAGTAAATTTTTTCATTTTTAATTCATTATCCAATAAGAAAATTTTCCCAAAATATCATTTGTTCCGATAGCAAAGATCACTCTCTAAGAGTATCATGAAAAATAGTCATATTAGTCGATTCTTTTCTAACTCGTGCGTATTAATGAGTTTTTAATATCAAAATTATTATTTTCTTTATCGAACAACCTGAGATATTAATAACTGTAATCAGATACTAGTATCCATACGGAATTAATCGTTAAAACAGTTAGATATACTTTATTTAATTATGAATTTTTTATTACTAACAAAGAACAAATATTCAACGAGATAGCTTGATTTTAATCAGCATGTATGGCATTATAGTGCTGTTAAAAATTAGGGCTTTCGATCAAAATATTTCAACGAGATATTTTTTGCAAAAACGACAAGTTATGCGGCAATATTACGTCAAGTTGGTAAAGTTCTGTTCATGTATAAGTGTTTTAGATCGATAAAATTTTACAGTTGCATTTCCGGTGGCAGGGCAGTTATAAATCCATGTAACTGAGCGCCTAGGGAAATATTTATTGCTTTCATTTGTGAAGTATGTGTAATTTTCAGTTTCTGTTTGAATAAATAGCTTAGTTAAATTAAAATGAGATTCTAATGAAACAGGATAAATATAATTGCAATTAAATCCAACGATAAACTGATTGTGTTCGTGTTCTATTGTAACATTATGAATATTGTATATTTCTGTTCTGTTAACTGGAAGTTGATTCAATTCGGTCGCATGGCAGCTTTCGTCTAAACAACATATAAATGTAATGAAAAGTATAATTGTCATGATTCCATACTTCACTTGCCATTTACAGAAATCAACTACCATAATGTAGTCGATATCAAGAATCTTATCCATAGAAATAATGGAATTTAAGTTGCTTGTTTCTTCATGGCTTTGATATTGTGATTAGTGTATAAGTGTTTTTGTATAAGAATTTTCCTTGTTATCTAATTTCAGATCAATCGGAATTATTGAAATGCAAATCATACACAACACAAAGAAGAAAGTATATGTTTACCTTATTAAAAGTTATTTTCAACAACTATAAGGAGAAATACATCCTAATTTTTTTATATAATTTGATTGAATGGAAATCAGTCATTTAAAATGCTAATAAATGTTTTCTTTCCCATGAACTTAGCATGAAAGATATAATTTTTCATGTTATCATGAAAGATATAATTTTTCATGTTATCATGAAAGATATAATTTTTCATGTTATCATCAAAGAATTCACTCTTTTCTCCATCCAAAATAAAATTCTTCGATTTTCACTCTCATATCAATTCATCCGAAGATCTATTAAAATACATAGACCTTAAGATACATCCTGTAATAAATTGTCGAAATTCAAAAGATATAAAAATGATTAATGATATTAAGGGTGATTATTCATATAGTATTGGATGTCATCCATGGGATAGTAATATCCCTTATAACAAATTATTTGATATCAAAGTAGATTACAATAAAAAATTTTTTGTTGGCGAAATAGGACTTGATAGCGAATGGTGCAAAATTCCCTTTGATATTCAAAAAGAAAGATTCATCTTTGAGCTGGAACAAGCTAAGAAACACAAAAAGAAATGCATTCTTCATACAAAAGGAATGGAAAAAGAAATTCTTGATATCATATCAAAATATTCTAATGATTTTATTGTTCATTGGTATGCATGTGATAACTATATCGAAGATTATATCAAAATTGGTTCTTATTTTACAATTGGATATGTAATTAAATACGAGAAAGAAGTTAGAAAGCTCGCACAGCTTGCACCTCTTGATCATTTATTATATGAAACTGATGGATTAGAAGCAATTGAATGGTTAACGAAAACAAAAGTAAAATTCGAAGATATGCCTGATATATACCTTGAAGTATTGAATGAAATATCCAAAATCAAAAATATTCCGATTGAAACAATTCATCAACAATTATATCAAAATTCTCTCAAATTATTGAATAACCAATAGATAAAAATCACTTACATAGACTATCAAAATCATTTGCAATTGTAATACTTTAATTTTTATATAAAATTTAAAATTAAATTTCTTGTGTTCCAAATAAATGTTCTTCAATGGTCTTAAGAGTGTCTTCGAGAACATCATTTACTATAATTAGGTCCCATTTGTCTTTATTTTCATTAATAACTTTGATTTCAGTTTCAGCTGTTTTCAGTCTAGTTTTAATTGAGTTTTCATCATCTTGTCCTCTTCCTCTTATTCTAGACTCAAGTACATCTAAGTTTCTAGGTAATAAAACAATTATATAAGGATTTAGATTTTTTTGTTTCATTGCAAGAGATGCATCGAGATTAACATCGAATATGCATATCTTTCCTGATTTTGTTACATTTTCTAATGCTTCGTATGATGTTCCGTAAATATTGCCATGAATATAATTATATTCAATAAATTTTCCGTCTTTTATATCTTTTTCCATTTTCTCGCGTGATACGAATATGTAATCAACGCCATCTACTTCACCTTCTCTTGGCTTTCTCGTTGTATGTGATACGCTATATGCGAATTGATCTTTATATTTCTCCATTAAATGGTTAATGATTGTTCCTTTACCTACACCTGAAGGACCAGCAAATATGATTGGTCTTGTAGCGAGCAAATAGTTGAGAATCATTTTGAAAAATGGATTTTTGTTGATTTCAATTTCGATACAATCTTCAAAAAAAATCCATTATCAGAATTTTTAGACGACTTCTATCATTTTTTTCCACAGTTCTAAATGCATGAAATCCTATTTTATATGTCAACACAGCATAATCTTTTGGTTTTTGTAAGTTTGAACTTTTATTATTCTGAATAAAGATCAAATTTTTATAAAATTTATCCGTATTTTACGTGAAACATTGAACAACACGTGATGGCACAAAGATTACATTTAAATCATGGCTTCTATTTTTTGCTAATCTCATAAGCAAAGAATCATTTGGATTTGATTTTAATGTTGATTTGGAATTAAAGGTGTATGATGTTGGAAATAGTTAGGAATTATCATTTCAAAAGGTGTTCATGTATATAATTTGTATAATTTAGGAAATCTCAAAATCATTTTTTCTTATTTCTGATTTTTTATGCTCAATATTCAAGAATTCATGTGTGAGACATTGAAAAATTGTATAAATAATAGAAACTATAACATTTATAACAAATAAAATCAAAAGTTATTTCTTATCAGAATCAGTGAAATTGAATGGAAGAGAATTCCATTTACCAAGCTTAATCTGGAGTGCTTTGAAGTATTTTGTGCCTGATGTTGTCCAAATATAGAAGTGGAGGAAGTGGGAAACAGAATATCCTTTTGTTTGATCTACAACACTTGGAGATAACTTAAGAGGGGCCAAGAATAGTCTGAATGGGATAATTTCGCCTTTAATTGGAGCTCCATCTGTAATTTCCCATGTGAAAATAACATTTGTATGTTTCTTTGTTTTATTTCCTGAATCTAAGATCTCTTGAGCAACCAAATCAACGGTAAACTTATATATCTTAAGCGCAACTAATAAGAAATGTGCGCCACCAAGTAAAACGTCATTTAGTTCGAATTTTCTTCTGTTGATGAGTAAATCGATTCTAATGTTTTCTGCAACAGCCACACGAACGCAAAGTGGTTGTAATTTGGAAACGCATGGTGTATATGAGTAAGCTATGATTTCATGTTGATGTTCGACTGAACCGAAGGATTTCTTGACAATAAACTTGAGGAGATGCTTAATTGAGAATAGTTCTCCATGATATGTCTGTACATTTGATGGAATTGTGAGCTGTGGAAGTTGACATTCCATAACTCCGGAGAAAGAGCCTGATTCTGTCAATAAAGTGGAAACACTTGATGACAAACTCATAACTCTTCCTTTTTCTGGTATAAGTTCTGAACAAAACTCAAAATAAATTCCTTTATGAGAAAATGCGTTCGGAGTTTTGACTTTAATTGTTAAAGTAACGTCAAAGCTATCTCCACAGTTGAAAATACCTGGATCAATTTGTGTTGAAAGAGGTGTAACTTGTACATCAAATTCTAAAGGGCCGTCTTTTGACATTGGCACTTTCTCTGATTTGCGAAATTTCATATCACATAGCAGATTTTATGGTAAATCATGGCTTTTGATTTGAACTATCATTATGTCCTTGATACAAAGGGCGTCAGGATATATATGATATAGTCAAATATGAAATTTACATCTAATCAATCACCAATTCTTTTTATAGATCCTTCAAATGTAGTTTACAAATGTTCAATTTTTCTAACAGGATCGGTTAATTAGAAGTGATTACCTTTTAATAGATATTTTCCATGATATATCTTTTTAAGTACTCTAAAAGCATATATTCTTTAGAATATGTGCTGACATTGTACATTTTGGGCATGGTTAGATGAGATGATAAAAGAAAACAGTTTATTCAATCGAAATCAAACTCTATTTTCATGTGGATTTGTAATTGGCTGTAAACCAATGGAAATATGTCTTTCGTATTGTGAAGTAGCTTAAAGAAGTTGTGATTTATCGGTAAAAATGAGTTATCTTCAAAAATGAAATTCAATAATTGAGGATAAAGAGCGAATATTTTTGCATTTTTGGATGAGACATGTTATCCTGTAATAATCTACTACAAAATTCTATGATAGCTGTTTGCCAGATCTTTGACGAGTAAATCTGTCAAAATTTTTGAAAGGTTAACTTCATCGTCAGAAATCGGATGCAAGACTTCCAATCATTAAAAGAAGAGCTTGAGAATTTAAAGACTGAAATTTTATCCGGTATCGATAAATTACGCGACTCTGATGAACAAGAATGGAACAATTTGGTTACAACACTTCAAAGCCAATTTGCTGAACTTCAAAATACTTTTGTTGAGTTTAACAATGCAATTCCAGAGTTCGATCAGAACGATCAAGATGATGCACGTAAGTATTACGCTAAAATGAACTTGGATATACAAGCGTTGGAATCAAGATTCAATCAGATCAAGAAAGATGGCTTCCAAAAGAAGAGCACAATTGCAGAAAACTTTGTTGATAAAGAAATCCCATCAAATATACCAGCTCCTGAACAACCAACTGTTCAGGAACCATATAATGCTCTTGAAATCGAAGATGTTCCAGCGGGACAGCAAATTCCAGATATCGAGAAGCCACTCAATGCTCTCGAGGCAGATGTCGAAACAAATGAGACTGGTGATACTTCAATCATGGGATTTTGCAAGAGGAACACCAAATACTTATTAATTGCAGGTTGCATTTGTATTGGTATTGGTATTGGTATTGTTTGTTTAATTATTGTTTTTATTAAATAATCTAATAAAATTTAATTAATAAATGTATTCATTGATATAGTAACTTATACATGAACATTTCATAAGTTTTACATTATAAAATTTCTAAGTTTAATTGCTTTTTCTAACAAGATCTAAATTTCAAAAATATAAGTCAAAAAAATGCTCAAAGCAAACTAATCTATGTTTAAATCTCTGCAATATGGAATAATATGGTGGATTTTATACAGTATAGTGGAACTGGAATGTTTTTTCAAACTGAATGAGATTGATTAAACGTATATTATGGGGTTGTAAAGCCTTTTTGTGCTACCAAGTGATTCTATGTTATTCATGTATCCTAATTACTAAATCTGGCTGATTGTATCGTTGTGTCATAAATAAGATTCAACCTTTTATATCATAAATTGTAAAATAGCGATGAAATAGAACCTTTATTACTATTAGAATACAATTAACCATCAATAATGGATTCTGACTGTAACGAGCAATTGTTAAACGGCAATGAATTTTATTTTTGAAAATCATTCATAATTTCGGTTTTTTGAATCATGATTTTTTCTGGATTTCTATCAATTTTGACAGTGGTCAGAAAAAAAAATCATTATGTTTGCCGTAGGGCGAATCGAACTCATATTCGGTCCGATGTTTGCTGGTAAGACAACAGAAATGCTTAGAAGAATTTCTAGGTGTGAGATGGCTCATAAACGCTGCCGCGTTTACAAATATAGTTTCGATCAACGCTACAGTGCAGACAAAGTTTCAACTCATGATTATTTCATGCATGATGCAATTTCTTGCACAACATTAATGCCCCATTTCATGGAAGCGATGTCATATGATGTCATCGGTATTGATGAAGGCCAATTCTTCCCAGATATTGTTGTATTTGCCGACCAACTTGCAAATGCGGGCAAAATTGTTTTCATATCTGCCTTAGATGGCGATTATCTCCGCAAACCTTTTGGAAAAGTCGGAGAATTAATCTCTAAATGCGAAAGCGTTATCAAATTAACTGCTATTTGCAGAGTTACTGGCGAAGAAGCCGCTTTTACAGAAAGAACTGTTAAATCCGATCAATTAGAATTGATTGGTGGCGCAGAATCCTATACATCATCATCCAGAACAGCATGGAAGAAGTTTAATACTTCTGGATGTATAAATCTTACAATTGGCCCTGTTAAAAGTGGCAAAACAACCGAATTAACCAGATTACTCGTTCGCCATAAAATTGCAGGCAAGAAAGTTATTATGCTCGTTAACCACGAGGTAGATACTACAAAAGTCCCTGTTGAAGTCAGAGTTATTAATGCCCTTCCAGATTTGGCATCAATGCAAGAGTACGATGTCATTGGTGTCGATGACGGCCATCTTTATGAAGGCATTGCTGAGTGGGCAGATGATTTTGCCGATCATAACAAGAAAGTTATGGTTGCAGCTGCAGATGGAGACGAATTCCGTAACCCTTACTCACATATCCTTAAACTCTTCTCCTTTGCAGAATCAGTTCGTAAAATCGACTCAATCTGCATGGTTACTGGCAATCCTGCACCATTTACGGCCAGAATTGATGGAAAACTCGTTCCAATATCAAGACTTGGAATCATGAGTCAGAATTCTATCAATTCATATACAAGACAACAATAATATGCTATTTTTATTTTATTTTTTATTCATGATAAAAAGTAGTATATGCGGACGGGTTTAGTGACTTTTTTTGTTACATCTATATATAGACGATGCATTAAAATATATTTATTTATAAATCATTTAAAAAATTAACATTAATTTTAAAATAATTTATTTTTTATCTTTTATAAAATAATCTATATATAGATGATGTCAGATATTCCGCGATTAATTAAACATTGTTTAAATCCTGAATGGGTTAAACTTCAATTTAAAAATGAAGATTGTGAATTATTAAATGAATATGAAAGCCAAAATAAGCTAATGAGGTATAAATATAATGATAAAGAATATTTAATTTCATGGAATCAATGGAATCATAATCAAAGACCTCATAAACGAGAAGAAGAAATTGAAAATAATGAAATGGAAATCATTGATGACATTAAAGAGGATGGAATTCCTAAATTTTGTAGAAAAACCTTTAGAACTAAGTTAGGAGCATATAAACGTAGAGTATTAAATCCTGAATATCTTAAACATCAATTTAAAAAGGAAGACTGCGAATTATTAAACGCTAATGAATATGAAAACGCTAAATCAAAACTGAGATATAAATATATTGGTAATGATGAAAGGTGTAAAGATAAAGATAAAGTTTATTCAGTTTCATATAATAACTGGCACACGTTAGGGATAAGAAAACATTTAGGAGATTATGGGAAATGTTCTGAATTCTTTAGTAGTAGATGAGTGCGGGTTGTGTGACTTTTTTTGTTGCATCTATATATAGACGATGCATTAAAATATATTTATTTATAAATCATTAAAAAATTAACATTAATTTTAAAATAATTTATTTTTTATCTTTTATAAAAGAAGCTATATATAGATGATGTCAGATATTCCGCGATTAATTAAACATTGTTTAAATCCTGAATGGGTTAAACTTCAATTTAAAAATGAAGATTGTGAATTATTAAATGAATATGAAAGCCAAAATAAGCTAATGAGGTATAAATATAATGATAAAGAATATTTAATTTCATGGAATCAATGGAGTCATAATCAAAGACCTCATAAACGAGAAGAAGAAATTGAAAATAATGAAATGGAAATCATTGATGACATTAAAGAGGATGGAATTCCTAAATTTTGTAGAAAAACCTTTAGAACTAAGTTAGGAGCATATAAACGTAGAGTATTAAATCCTGAATACATAAAACATTTATTTAAAAAGGAAGACTGTGAATTATTAAACGTTAATGAATATGAAAATGCTAAATCAAAACTGAGATATAAATATATTGGAAGTGATGAAAGGTGTAAAGATAAAGATAAAGTTTATTCAGTTTCATATAATAACTGGCACACGTTAGGGATAAGAAAACATTTAGGAGATTATGGTAAAAGTTCCGAATTCTTCAAATCTAGTATGTACGAGAGAATAAAAGAAATCAGATATAATTATCATTCATGAATGAAAAATAAACTTTAAAAATTCATGTCTTACATTTTTTGAATAATTTATTTTTTTAATTCGTATGAAAATGAGTGGATCAAGATTCGTAACCGTCAATCAATTAATGGATGTTCTTTCACCAATTCTTGAAAATGTTAAACAAGTAGATGTTTATTTCGATGATTATGTAGAAAGTATATATTATAAAGGTAAGTTTAATATTAAACCTATTGCTTTTGCATTTGATAATAAATTAATTGAAAATGCAAAAATTTGGGAATTAATTCCAGATATTGAATTTATAACAAATATTAATGATAAATGGTTTAAACGAATTCCAACCACAAAAGTTCTTTGTAAATTAATGATCAAAACTGAGGAAAAAGAATTTAACGGGTTTAAATATCATCCAAATAAAGTTTCAGAACTAGAAAATGAAAAACTTCAGAAAAAATTAAACGATAGACTTTCAAATGATCGTATTGAAAAAATAAATAAACTAGCAGAAGTTGCATTTAATAATGAAATATTTGATGAATATAACCTTGAACTCAGTGATGGACTTTAAGTCCTGGGCACTTTGTGCCTTGAGCTTTAAGGACCCGGGCTCAACGAGTCATGATTTATGAAATCAATAATTTGATTTATTCGCTCTTCAATAATTTCTATTCTTTTTGTTAAATCATCAATTTTCATTAATGAGGTGATTCTTGATTGAGGAATAGATTTTAAACTAACAACACCTTTTATTTTTGAAATTTTGAATCCATGACCCTCCGGGTCTTGGACTCTGTCCTCAACTTTAAACATTTTATTCAATTTACATGTTGTCAATTCTTCAAATAATTTTTTATTATTAGCATAATAGTCATTAAATTCATCAACAGATGAAAAAATTTTTATTTCAGTAATTGGTTTAACAACGTTTATTTTTTGTTGAACATTTTCACTTTCATTTATTTCTTCCTCCTCTGTTTCATTTATTTTTAAAATCGGTTTCATTTATCATTAAATAAAAAATTAGAATATAAGTGATGAAATATATTTTTTAATTAATATTAAATCAGAGATGGCGGCAGGATTCTTTAAAAAATTATGGGAAGGAATTAAGAAAGCTGCAAGTTGGGTTCATCAAAAGATTATTAAACCCGTTGCAAACTTTTTGGCACCAGTAGCGAAAACGGCAGGAACTATCATAGGAGGAGTATTAGGTGCTAAAGCAGGTAATCCGGCGATGGGAGCACAAGCAGGTAACGCAGTTGGTGGAATTGCTGAAGGAATACTTAATAAAATAGGGGGTAGATAGTGGAAAAATAAATAAATATTATTTTTATCTTAGTATCGGTTGTAGTCGACGATAAACCTTATCTCCTTTATTTAATACTTCCCTTACCGGAACATTAGGTGCTATTTGTTCAGCAACGTCACTAATTGCTTCTTTATTCTTAAATATCCAATTTGCTCCTTTCTTAATCCCTTCCCAAACTTTATGCGCTCCTCTTTTTACTTTATCCCACAGTTTCTTAAAGAATCCTGCAGCCATAGTTGATTATTTCATTAAAATTAAAAATTCATTTTCATCTTTTAATTTTGATTTTTTATTTAATAATAAATGACGACTAACTATTTAGTGCCAAACACTAAACCGATTAATGGAAATGTGTTTCATTCATTCGAAAAGATAAATGAAATATTCGCAAAGAATGATGGTAGAAGATATTATAGAGAACTTGAAAGTTCATGCTATGACTCTGATGCTCCATATTTTGATGATAAACAAACTCATTTAAGAATTACAAATCCGGCTCATGATGTGAACCAATTAGGTGACACATATATTAAACGCAAAGTTAAAGCAACTCTAGTTTCAAATAAAGCTTTCACATGTGATGCCGCTTTTAAATGCATGCGTTTATTCGTTGGTTTAAATCATCAAATCAAAGCTTTAAACAATTAGAAGTAGAAACCGAAAGAGGTGATGCTGGTTATCTTCAGATGGATTGCGCCCGTGAATCTTTCGCATTTGCAACATATAAACCAAAATCAGAAAGGAAAGTTAAAAAGTTTGTTCATTCGTTATATAATAATGTTCAAAAATATGATAACTCAGTATGTGGTAAATATATTGACCCTTCAGAAGTTTTCAAGAAAGCAAATGAAGAAGTTGATGTCACTTTTGATATGATTATTCCGGTAAATGATTTGTTAGCATTTCAGGCGTTCGATGATTATCCTAAATCATTTGGTGAAATCATTCTTAAATATTATGTTTTCAGGGATACTTTAGTATTTTGTCAGGTTGACCCGTTAAGAGTTGCTGATTTACAAAATTACGTTTATGAAAAGATAACTGATGAAAATTATGAAAAGATTATGAATCATGTTTATAAATATGATCGCAAATTCCAACAAATCGGACTTCCTGCCAAATTAATTACAAGCTTAGCCGCTACATCTGCTGACGCAACAGTTGAAGACGTTATTATTTCATGCACAAAGATGGAAGTTTTAGAGGATAAATGCATTACACCAGGATACGGTTTAATTGAAGAATCAGTTAAAGCAATACCACGTTTATTTAGTAAGGAAGATCCATTCATGATTCCAGCTCAACATATTGACGTTCGTTCACTAAATGGAGGTTGCATCACTCCTGAAGGTATTAGCTCAGATTTCTCATACGCTCTTCATAATGTTACAGATGTTGTGTTAACATTTCCGAAGAATGCAATGCAAAGAACGGTTTTAGAAAATCCAATGCTTCGAGGTCTTCAGGTCACTATAGATTCCAGAAACTTCCCCGATCAAGCGATGACCACAGTGGGTGACATATTCTTTACACGTATGCTTCAAGCTTCTGATTTAGATGGAGTGAATGAATGCACAGAAGAATACGAGGACTCATTAACTAGACCACTGAATGATGATGATGGCACACCATTAGCTAGAACATGGAAAGACCAAACTTCATTCTTATGCACTATTCCAGTTCAACGTGATGGAGCGGGTATATTCTTTGATGGATTAGAAACTTTCAACTCACAAGTTACAGTACAAGTGAAAGCTTATCCAATCATTCAGGGTGAAAATGACACTTACTGTTCAAAAGTGACAAATCCTCCTCAGGTTTGGTTTACTAGGACTACATATTGGACATGGACACCGGATGAAGGTTTGAAATATCATCCAACAGGTACACCACCGCAGTATAGAAGTTCATATGATGAAATATTGATGAATAGAAATGTTTAAAATTATAAATTTATTTTTGATTAAATGGATTTAAATTCATCCACCCCTTATGAAGAATTAGCAGGAGTATATAATACATACGTAGATGATATGATTAATGAAGCATTGAGTGATAATAGAAATGCTCTATCTAAGGAAAAATTAATGAAAATTCCATATTCTGAATGTTACTTAAATTCAATCACTGCAGCAATTGGTAAACAAAATAAAGGTAAAACATTAACGATATTAAAACAAATTATCATTATTGCTAACACTTCACCCTATTCACATGTGTTAATTTATATCAACCGTTCAGGTTCACCTTCAGATGATACATTTGAATCTTTAAAGCATTTAATCAAAATTCCAATTATTTATTTATCACAAGAAGAAGCAGAAGATTATTTAAAAAACTTTGTAATGTATAAAGAATTATATAATACAATCAAGAAGCAAGGATTAGAGGATAAAATTATTGATAAACAACGGGATGAATTATTTGAAACACTTTCTATTTCAAATTTTGATAGAGAATTTTTGCATTCACTCATTTTTCTAGATGATGCGGTGAAATCAAAACTAATAACTAATGAGAAATCATATTTTAATCAATTATTAACTCAATGTCGACACATTCAGTGTTCATTCTTCATGGCTGTTCAATACTTTAAAGCATTAAGCACAAACATTAAATCAAACCTGTCCACCCTTTTCATTTTCAGTGGTTTTAGTCGTCAACAGTTGAACGTTATGCTTTATCAAGTGAATTTACCAATGAGCATTAATGAACTTTACACACAATATCAACAATTAGGAGAACATGGAAAAATAATAGTTGATTTAAATAAAGGTTCCATTAAATTCGAATAACTTTTTATAATTAATTTTTATTTTTTATTTATAATTAAACATGACAGAAATTGCAAATCTTCTACAGGTTCCATTAAAACAAGGAACAAACAAAAAGGGTGCATATAATAGAACTATGAAAGTTCCAGACGGAATGAAAGAATTAGTCCACATTGTTGCCGGTCTTCAAAAGGATGTTAAACAAATGAGAAACGTTTTAACATTACCAGAAGCTCAAGCATATGCCAAACGTCACGGACCAAATTGGGAAGCACACGAAGCAGACATTACGGGTCCAAATGGAAAACCTGATGGAATAAATGAAGTTTTCGTTACTGATGGTCAAGGAAATATTAAAGTCATAAATGGGTATAAATTAACAATGACGGATTATCCTAAACGTAAAGCATATAATGAACATTATCCTATGCAATTTGATGAAAATGGAAAAGCTGTTAAACAATACATTGGAGAAGGTGAAAATGGTCCAATTAATTCATACCGTCATAATCCATATTCTTACTTCAATGAAGAATTAAATGCTATTGAAGAGGGACCGGATGGATTACCACGATATTCTAACCAGTTTGATGGTCAATATGCAAATTTAAGACCTGAAATTCCAGCTAAGAAATTCTTTAAAGTTGCTTTATTCGATCCAGTTTTCGCAAATGTTAAAGATGAACTTAAACAGCAATTCCAACCAATTATAGTAGCAAGAATTGCATCAGGTGCTTTATCTCAAGCATTCAAAGATTTAATTAAGAAACCATTATATCAGCAACGAGGTTTAACTTATGATTTAGTTAAGGAATCAGATAAAAGAAAATTTGAGAAATCAGATGATTATAAGAATGCAATTAATGAATATATTCGGTCTATTAATTTCGATGAAAATGCTAAAAATCAACTTCATGAACAAATACAGGAAATAATAGATTCAAAAGTTCCAGCAAAATAAAAGTTTAAATATATTTTTTTATTCGAATATAAATGAGAAGACGTTTCACTAGTCAAAAGAACACTAACGCAAAAGCAGAGATTACGGTTGGTTATAACGTAAATGATGATAAATCACGAATTATTCAAAATGTTAAAGTTAATGTTAGTCCTGAATTAACAAGGTCAGCAACTCAACCAAATTTATTAACTCGTGACTTACCGAAGAATGAGGAGAATGAAGAAAACCGTGAGAATGGAGACCCAATCATTTTATCTGAACCTGGTAAAGAACCTGTTGAAATTCCCACTTATCCAACATACCCCCCACCTCTTTCATCAAACATCGAGAACCCAGGAATCTACGATTACAGTCGCAATGCGCCATATAAAATAGACATTAATTCTGAATTAATGAAAATTTACCGTGATATCATAACTGATAATTATGATTCAATAATAAATTTAATTGACCAATCCGGTTTAATTATTTTACCTTATGAATCATTAATTCACATTATCGCCATTCTTTGTGATGTTCAAGATTCAGACGTGAAGATTCAATTTTTCATAGATGATGAGGTTTCATGCTGCGGAACAGTTGCAAAAATAAATCCTATAAAGGATATTAGCACAATTAAGATATCAAAGAACGGAACAACAACTGAACTTCATTTAACATATAATGATATTTATAATAAAATAGTTGATGAATATAAAATATCACTTGAAAAATTCTTTGTTAAGGCTATTTAATATTCAAGCATTAACATTATCGAATAATAATCCTTTGAATCATAATCGATAATAATTGACCTTTCACCAGTTTCTATCGTTTGTTTTATTTCTTTTTGTTCCCCACTATCCGGATCGGTCATTGTAATTGTTTTTGTTATAGTATCAGCTTTATCTTTAACTTCAATCTTTTTTCCATCGGGATATTTAAACCAAAATTCCAAAAATTCGATATTGTCAATCTGTTCATATTTTAATCTATCAATTACATTTTTAATACCATCTGAAAATCTTATGAAATGGTCATTATATGGGTTTGATTGAACTAAATTTGAATGAAGTGAAATATAACCTGATGATGAATATGACATCGACTCATATTTTCTGAAAACACTAAAATTTATAACATGAATGAATTTCTTATTCGTTGAATTTATGAATTCTTGAGGTAATCTTATTCTAGTTTTATTTATCACTGGAAAATAACGCTTTACCATATTTTTAATCGTAATAAAAAAATGTCAATTATCAATATTATTTCGAATAATAACTGTGAATTAAATTTAACAGTTAGCGGAATTTATAATGTTACTCTCGTTTCTGTGAGTGGTAAATTTAATCCCATTCTTTTAGACCCTTCAGATTATATATCATTTATTAAAGATGACCATGAGCCGCATAGCGGCGGGGTCGTAGACCTAAAAACGTATGATATGTATATAAATAATGTGATAACGAAATGGGATATTAACATGATTTTAAGTTATTTAAATGAATCATTTATCGTATGGTATGAAGAAAATTTTAAATCAAAACCTGATAAACTTTTTGAACTTGATGAAATAAATAACCTTATTAAATTTCCGCTGAAAATTAAATTTTGTACTCCTCGTCTTCGTTCATTGTTGGGGATATTAAATTTTGAAAAAGATGTTGGGGATGTTTTGTATTCTGACACTGGTTCTAATTTCATTTTAATCAAATGTGATAAAGTTAATACCCCAATGAGATTTTCACATCAAACATTAGACCCTAACTCTTACCCATCAATACAAAACATTTTATCCATCAACTTAAACATATTTTCTTTATCATATCCGTTTCAATTATCCGGGAATTCATTTATTCTTCATTCAAAAGATTTATCAAATATTAAATTTAGAATAACTGACCTATTTGATTGTGATTTAGAATTTATGAATGAAATATTATGGCAATTTCAAATAGAAAAAATAGCTGATGAGATAACAGATTAAATATTTATTTTTAAATCGTAATAAATGATTAAACAACAGCAACCACAGACCATTACATACGCCATATATGCATATAATTCAAAGACGGCAGAACAAACGCAAATGTTGAAATATGGAGATTTGGAGATAGTATTGAAAAATAACCATTTCGAATTCGTTTGCAAAGGTGGTGCAGTGATATCAAATATAAAAGAAATTTTATTTATGAATTCAAAAATTAAAGGAATAACGGATGATATAACATCAATTCCACCAGAAGAACAAAGATATTACGCATTAAATGCATTTCCTAAAGTTTTGAAGATTGGAAGATTTAATTTAAATGAGGAATTCATAAAAGGTTTCCTAAATGACATAATGAAGAAAGCAGATAAGGAATATGTTAACGATGAGTTAGCAAAGAAAGCAGATATATCATTTGTTAACGATGAGTTAGCAAAGAAAGCAGATATATCATTTGTTAACGATGAGTTAGCAAAGAAGGCAGATAAGGAATATGTTAACGATGAGTTAGCAAAGAAAGCAGATAAGGAATATGTTAATGAAAAAGATAATGAAATTATAGAAAGGGTTGAATGGTATCATGAACGGACATCGAAGATTCTTAAAACTAAAGCTGATACAGGATGGGTTTCAGAATGTTTAGACCTTAAAGCAGATATATCATTTGTTAACGATGAGTTAGCAAAGAAAGCAGATAAGGAATATGTTAACGATGAGTTAGCAAAGAAGGCAGATAAGGAATATGTTAACGATGAGTTAGCAAAGAAAGCAGATATATCATTTGTTAACGAAATATACCAAAGTTTAGTTGGAACAAAAAATATTGAAACTATTGTTGGCGACTTTTCTGTCAATGAAGAAAACAAATATTTTAGATGGGAGTTTGTACAGTCCTTAAGAAATGGTATACGGTATAAACTCATTCCGAAAAATAACAATGAAATGTATGTAGGCTATATAAAGAATAATGGCACACAAGTTAAAGTTCCATTAGACAACAACTGCTACTTAAACTTATATGGAGACGAACAAAAGAAATATTTAAGAGTTTATGAAATGGCAGATATGACATTGTCTAACGTAGCTCCAGCACCATATTATTATGACTATGGTGTTGACGCACGTGTAGACCCAAAAAAGCAAACATTATATTTAGATTATTATAGATATAAAAGATATAATGCAATAGAAAAAACGAGAATAGTATACTATTATGAAGATGACAAAAATAAATATTATAGTCAAGATTTTACATACCCCGAAAACATAAGATTATATTATAAAAAATATTCTGACACAAACCAGAAGAAACCCGAAATAGTTACACTATATTTTAAGTTCAAAAGAGACAATCCTATAATATCTCATATGTTTGATTTAATGAACCCAGTAGGTTCTATTTATACATCTATGGATGTGAGAGGTCCTCAAGCAATGTTTGGTGTTGGTGCATGGGAACAAATAGTCGACAGGTTTTTGTATTGTGCAAACTCTTCAAAGGAAACAGGGGGAAGTAAAACAATTACGGGTGAAAATTTACCTGCACACAGTCACTACATAGATTTAAGCACATCTCAAGCAGGTTGGCATAAGCATAGATATTGGGATTGGTCAGGAATGACAAAAGGTAAAGGATATGATGTTAAAGATGATGTTAAATTTGCCATAAATTGTTACTGGAGTGACACTCAGGGAGAAGGAAACCATACACATCGCGTTTCAGGATATACACAAACAACGGGACAAAGTAAAGATTACATGCCACCATTTATGACTGTATTCGCATGGTATAGAGTTCAATGAACGCTCAATGTTTGTGAAACAAACTTTAGGAGCTCCAAAAGAGCAAACAGCATAATTTAAATTTTTATTTTAGTATAAATGAAGATTCTACCATATGGTGTTATTGGAAGAGATAAAGATGGAAACCCAATATTTGATCCAAAGTTAAAATTAAAGTTACTGACAAGACAACAACTTGAAAAGTTGCTGAAACCAAAACAGAATGAAAAATGAGAAAATGAGAAAATGAGAAAGAAAAAAAATTTAAATTATGCAATTTTATTTTTATCATAAATGACCAAATTAATTAAGCCAACTATTTCTAAATTAATGATACCAATGAAATCATTTCATGGAGTACTTATCCCAGGTTCTTCACAATTAGCCGGGGCAAGTGTTGTGACTCAAGGTGGAACATTAGCGAATCCATTCAAATTATTAACTAAAGATGAACTTAATAAAATGATGATAAAATAACTGATAACAAAATTTTATTTCACTACTACCATAAAAAGAGGTGAGAAAACAGGTGAAATCTCACCTCTTCACCTAAATTATATTTTAGGTCAAAGCTTCCACGAGAGAAAAGATTCCTCATTCGCTAAGGATTCCAAAAATGAAAAAATCATTGATTTCGGCTGAGAAAAAACACCGGAATGCAATATAAATATCTAGTGTTAATGTTAATGGCAAATAAATAAGTAACGTTTCCTCTTGAATATTCTAAATGATCGATTTCGTATGAATATGGATATGGTGCAAATGAAGGGCGACTAAATTTTTCCTTTAACGGTTGAATTTTTGGGTCAGTTGGTTTATTTAATATTTTGAAATCCTTTTTAAAATCTTTTTGCTTCTTTAATGTTTGAAATGGATATAATAAAGTGAATGATGAAGGATTAACTGAAGGAGGAGGTACTACTGTTGGAGGTTTTGGTGTTGCAAGTGGTTTAATTTTATCTGCTTTGATTTTGGATTTCATTCCCCTCTTCATTAATTCCGGATGTATTCTATTCATTTGTTTTAAATATGCTGTATATAAAGGTTTGATATACTTTCCCGCTTCGAGTTTATGTTGAAGGATGAATTCCAAAAGTTGATCTTCATTTAAAAGTCGGGCTGAATATGGTTTAACTAATGAATCATAAATTAAAGCTTGTGCATCATTTATGGTCTGAAGGACCTGGGCGTTTTGCACCTTTAGCTGTTGAACATTTGCTACTTTCTCTTTTGGTGTTGTTTTCGGCTTTTTCTTCTTTGGCTTTTGTTCCTTTGGCTTTTGTGGCTCAGGATTATATAATTTATATAATTTATATAATTCATCAATATCTTCTTCTGTTAATACTTTATTTTTGAAATCTTTCAACTGTTTAAGTTGTGATTTAGTTTTTCCCTTTGAATATTTTCCTTCTTTAATGTTCTCTCTTAAACGTTTAATTATTTTATCATGATATTTCAAAATTTCATTTTTATAATATGAATAATAATAATCCATATCATCACCCGTTATATTTTTATTATATTTTTGGAGATATGATTTTAATTCATAATAACTAAGAAATTTTTGATTAAATACTAAATCATCAATTAAATTTTTTAAATCTGTGTTATCCATTTATATAAAAATAAAATAAGTGTTTTAAATAAATGGCATACAACATCCATTTTCACAACATACAGCCTTAGTGTGTGCTCCTGTTAATGCAGTCTTACCAATTGTTAAGCGAGTCATTACCCCGTTTTTAAGTTGTAAATTAATATTCTGACCATCAAATATCACTTTATCATTTATTATATCCAAATAATTTTTAGGTGTTAATTGTTTATTTTGTCTTAAACTAACACCTTTCATTTTTTGTGCAATCTTTTTGAAGGAGTCTTCACCAATCATTCCGTTGAATGATGTATAACACTTAGGGCATAAAGCAACCATGTTATCACCTTGTTTCTCAATTGCTAAACCCAATAATTTTTTCTCATGTGCTTTTTCTTCAGCTTTATTCTTTAATTTAGGTTTAAATTTCTCATCAAAACAGAAGAAATCAAAAGGTGCGAATTTGAAAATGTTTTTATCATAAAATTTTTTATCGGTTACAATTGCTTGAAATGCTTGAGTGTTAGGAAGATTTGGGTCGCCAGCGATTGCCCAATATGATGAATCAGTATCACCTTCAATGAAATGAAAACGATTAACATCCATGCATTTATACATAAAATCATAAATGAAAACCAAATACCAGTATTTTGCGTTATCTAAAGTGAAGAATGCCTCTTGTAAACATGTATCACATCTATAAAATCTATCTTTAAGCATCACTTGATATGTATCCTCTCCTATTTCTCTTATGTTTTTAAACTTATTTGACATACATGCAACGCGTGCCTTCTGTGCATTCATTATTTTAGTCTTTGCGTAATTTTGTGTATTCATTGCATCGTAACCATATGATCCATTAAGTGAAATTTGCAAAATAAACTTTTTCCTTTATTTCCTTCTAATTCAGCCTTTTGTCTTTCGTTCATAAATTCGTTCGCAAATTCATTAAAACAAGTGTTTTTCGTAAATGTTAAAATTGATTGAATGTCATCAATGATAAAATGAAATCTGTCTATTAGATACCAAAGATAATAAGAAGAAAATGGTTGATATTGGTTGTGTGTTGATGCTAACTGAGTTAATTTCCTCTGTTTCTGGTCAACTGGTAGATTGTTTGATTTCATGTAATTATACATAAAACTGCCAATTGTTTTTTCATCTGTGATAATATCTAAGTTTCTTATTATTGGTAAAAAGTTTATGTAATCATTAATGTATTTTTCATCAATGTGACCCTTTACTTCAGCCACGAATAAAGTATTTTTCTTCTTAATTATTCCCAGTGCTTTTGCTTTCTTTGTTGCTGTATCACAAATGATAACACCATTCAATCTTCCCGGCATATACATTTTATGGTCAGTATATTGAATGAAATCATGAGGATTAGATGAAAATGATGAAGGATATAATGAATTAAAGTCAACACCAACGAAATGAGTCATAATGTTGGAAGTGTCCTCATTTGATACAGTTTTAGTTTCTGGATTATATGAAAGTTTATTAATGTGCGTGATTCCTTTAAGATTTACTCTATGTTGAACATTTGATAAACCACCAGTAATTCCATTACGGAGGATGTGATAAGCTTCAACTGAATCTAGAGTCATTGGTAAATTATTTTTTAATGTATAATTTCTTAAATTGATTCTTAAACGTTGAACATCTTCATCTTTATTTGATTTTACGACATTGCAATAACAACACATTAACTGACAATTTTCTTTGGTATGTGGTTTTTCATTATCGATTCTATCTAATGTTGGTTTATTAGCATATGTAAACGCTTTACCACACATTTTGCATTTAGATGAAAGGATTAAATCGTGATAGTATTGATAGTCATCCATTGAAACATTGTTTTTAGTATCCCTTTCTGCTTTTTCATCTTGTTTCTTATATGAATCAATTTTATATTTCCAATACTTTTTTGTTAATTCAAAACTTGATTCCACATTTTCTTCTTCTGGATATGTTTCGTTAGGATTGAAGTTCTTATATGCTAACGCGTAACGAATCATTGATGCATTCGATGATAAAGAAAGATTATGAAGCATGTCAATTTTATAAACAAATGTTTCTTCAATAATTTTATCAATTGGGTCAATCATAATTTCAACGTCTTTATTGCAATAATGAATAAAATATTCTAATCTATTCTCAAAATTTTTAGCATCATTGAGATATATTTGATAATCTGAATCGGATATTGTTTCTTGAGTTAATGCTGAATAAAATGAATCTTGAGTGAATGGTTCCACTTTATATAATTCATCTTCGTAATTCTCCCATGTGATGAATTGATAAGGGAAAAAGGATTTAACACGTGATTTATTGTTTCCGAAATCTTGAGTGAATTGGTCTAATGTTCCACCCGCTATATAATTTCTGATGTCAATAAATCTTAATTCATATGGACAGTTTGTTTTCTTTACAATGATTTGCTTAAATTGAGAAGAAGAACCCAGCATTGATTTTATTTTCCATTTTGCAGTGTTTAAATCACGAAGAATTAAATTTAAATCAAACTTTCCCGAATTAAAACCTATGATATTCACTTTATTGAATTCCTCATCTAGAAGTTCTTTAAATGCTTCCTTCTGTTTTTCATTTAATGTATGGGACAAAGTCCCCGCCGTTTGGTCCGTTTGCGGCTTCATTAATTCTTCATATTGTTCAATATTTGATTCAACAACTAATGAACAGGTTGAAAATAAAAATTCAATCCAATCAGAGATGAACGAATCACTTGATGTTAAGCAAAAATTCCTCGTAAATGTTTTATCACGGTCTACGACCTCGCCGCTTCGGTCTGAAAGACCTTCAGGACTCAAAGAGTCCGTTTGCGGCTTTATTTTGACAGTTGATGATACCATAAATGGTTTTAAGTAAGCGTTCAAAGTTGCACATTCAGAAAGTTGAAGTTCTTCTTTAGTCTCTAATGTTTCGAAGTCAAAAGTAATATAATATCTTGTTGGTTTATAATATTCCTGCAAATTATGTGCTAATAGCCATTGATATATCTTCTGTTTCGTGATATGTGGTGCATATGGTTGTTGTGTGTTTTGCAATTGAACGTCTTGAATTAATCTTCCATTATTTTCTTTACATTTCTCACAATGCTTTAAAAATCTTCTTTGGTTTTTCCTTTCTGGGTCATCACGGATAGAATATACTTCTTCTTTGCAAAAGGGGCAAACTTTATATCCTGTGAGTGCTTCAACGTCTGTAATTCTGTCAGCGTGAAGTTTTCCACATGGACTCTGTGTTAATAAAATATTTACTGTTTCAAATTCTGGATCTATCATTATTGATTCCACTAATGGAAAGTCTACCTTATTTATGTCTACGTCTTCTGGTTGAGGGACACAATAATAAAAATCAATATTAACGTTTAACATTCTTGCTAACCTCTCACTTTCTGATG